TACTCGATTGGTAAACATTTCACACACATACAGAAAGACATACAGAAAGAATGCAACTATAGAGATACTTGTGAGTTACCATGAAAGCAGGCTGTGCTTATTGATAGTATGATCAATGTATGTGAGAAAACAAAGTGCCAGATTTACAAAGAGAGTAAGAAATTCCACCAAGCTCTTCTTTATCATGGTGCTACCTACGGTAGAAACAAGAAGAAAGCATGGCAATGAGTAGACTTGGCATATGCAAGCAAGAACTGAGTGTGTCAAGTACAGTAATAACTTATACAGAAACCACAGGCGTATGTAGAAGGCAAAAACCTTAATTACTCAGAGCCATGTACACAAGGTGATTTCTAGGTTATTATAGCTGGTATGTTACGTGTCAGGGACATTTTATTGAGATTGCCTGGGTCATGCAGGCCATGCCTCTTGTGAGCCAAGCTAGGGAGGAGGCAGGTATGTGATAAAAGAGCAGTTCACCCTATGCCACAGGAGGGCCATGGCTCAAAGTCCAGCTTCGTGTCTCAAGCAATGGGACTGCCGTCTCAGGGACAGGTCTAGATGGGATCTAGGTGAAGGATCCCCTCCACACCTAGATTATTGCCTCTCAGCAGTATGGGAAGGTCCGGGCTCTGTGGGCATGCTTCTGGGCGGGTGGTTGGTGCCATGTGAACCTGAAGTGTCCCGTGTCTTCAGCTCCAGGCCTACATGGGTGCCAGCTCTGCAGTTCCACAGATCCTCACCTTCCGAGTAGCGTGATCTTAGGAGTCTCTGCAATTCCGGGCGTCCCCACGAGCGCAAGGACTGCCAACCAGAGGCTTCTCAAGGAGGGCCCCCGTCCCGGGTGGCAGAGTCTGCAGCTAGCTGTAGCTTTGCTGCAGTAGTAGCCACGCGGTGCCGGAATTTGCGGCAGATGGCGTTGAACCCAGCCTCAAAAAGGATTCTCTACTGATGGCATGTGCTGCAGTGTTGAGCTTCCAACGTGCGGCCATCTTGATTGCACCACGAGGTTTGTGGTATGTAGTGTTCCCACTCTCTAGCTCCATGTGAGTTCCACCAGGTCCAGTGGAGACCAGGATATCCCCCGCCAGTCCAAAGGGGGGGGGGGGAAATGGGCTGTTCGCTGGTAAAAAGGTGCGCTCAGTGGTGGCAGATCGGCCGTTTCCACCAGCCACTGGCGCACCCTCCTCTGTAGGCCTCAGACTCCGACAGGTAAGGTATGGCTCAAGAAGAAGAGCTGGCTCATGCTGGCACCAATAAGTTGCTTAGGTCGTCGAATTGCACGAATTTCAGCCACAAATAACAGTAGTTAGTCAGAGTCCTGTGGGAGCTACTTAGAGACACATCCAGCCATGCTGGACGTCTGGCTCACATCAAAGTAGCACAGGGAGCCGCAACACTGCAAGCCTCTGAACAATGAACACAGAGACTAGCTCTCTGTATCCAGCGCTGAAAGCCCTTCCTTCAAAATAACTACAGCACCTTAGACACACAATGCAACCCCTATTTATTTTGTCTCTTTCGGTGTTAGTCGGTGCCTCATGTTTGAGTTTTGCCTAAGGCCTCACACTGTAGATGCACCACAACATTTGAAACTTTATGTAGTAGGGGAGATTCAGTCACGCACGGAATATCAACAATGTACCAATTGTTATATGAAAAACACAATCTCTGCCGAGCTCTGTTTAGAAGGAGATGGGAGGAGGTTCTGGAGACCACATTCCAAGAAGAACATTGGACACCTAAATCATTATAGTACGGTTTGTACTAAATCTCAAGAAGCAAACTAGAAAATACTGTCATTCTGGTATCGCACACCAGTCAGTTTACATAAAATCTTTCCCACTCAATCACCAATGTGCTAATGATCTAATGAACATCCTGGAACACATCTGCACATATGGTGGTATTGTAGGGTTATAACACATTTTTGGGAAGGGGTAAAAGCAGGTATGGAAAAAATTTTAGGGGAAAAACTGCCATTCCAGCCCATGAATGTCCTCCTACATCACACAAGCCTCTCAATAGCCCAGTATAAGAAATCTATATTAAGATTCCTTTTAAATGCTGCTAAGATTTTTCCCACTATATTGGAAATCTAGGGAATCTCCTACCGTATAGACTAGGCTGGATAAAGTGGGAGAGATAGAAGCTGCAGAATCTAGGATCGCAACTTTTTCAAATGCTAGTGGCAAACATGACCAGACTTGGTGTCTTTCATAAGTGCATATCTCAGCGGTAAAAGGCCACTGGATGGAAAAAGGAAAGTAAAAGAAATGGGAAAGGTACACCATAAAGATAATTTTCTCATTTTCAGATTACTATTACACGGAGAAGGGATTAGGGAGAAATATAACCGGGAAAAATAAAAGATGGAAAATAGAAACTAGTTAGATATGTTAGAATAAGAATATTTTTGAGAAATAAAACATCAGAATATAGGAAGTAATTTATAAATATGAGCCTGTATGTCTATATGAGGGTATGTATATTTGCTCATGTGGTTATATATGTATATGAGTGACGGTACATGTTTTTGGGATGGACAATCGTGGAGCTAGGTGAACTGTGAGGAAAACAAGGGTAGGGAATACATTTTTTTTTTGGATATGCAAAAAGAAGACAATAATGAAGGGATTCGAAAACGGGTAAAATATGCTTAACGATATGCTTATTTTTGATAAATGGGGTCGTAGGCAAAACCTGAGACTGAGAGGTCTATCCGAAGGGGCGGCAACCCCCACACAACTCAGGGATTGGCTTACTACCATATTCAATGGCCTCCTAGAATGACCCAAAGACACATATCGAATTCGTCCAAGCACACCGAGCCCTGCGGCCCAGAGGCCCACCAGAATTGCCACCACGGAATGTGATATGTTGCCTGGCCCTATACTCCCTAAAAGACGATATTTTACATGGAGCATGTAACCAAGACACCATCACCCATGAGGGCCACCAACTACAACTCTTCCCGGACCTCTGCCCGGCCACCCTGGGATACCGCAGAGCCCTGAAACCCCTCACCCGAGTCCTGGCAGCACAGAAAGTGCGTTATAGATGGAACTTCCCAACTGGACTGACCGCAGTTACACCAGGAGGTCCCATACTAATTTGCACCCAGCAGGACATGCAAGAACTTTTGGAGAAATTACACCTGCCACCGCTCAATCTGATCTGGCCAGATCCACTGGATTTTTACAATGGCCCTCCACCACCACAGCCGGGAATGCAGCTGGCGCAGAGACGGAACAGGTCCAGAATGGAAACTGTATGGCCAGCAGGAACTCCACGCTAAAGGACATTGATCATGCTACCGTTCCAGCATGGGAGACCAAAGCGACCACGTAAATATAACACAGGACACTTTGGGACTATAACCTATATATACCCCGAGGGCCTTGGAACCTGACCCCACGCACTGGGACACACCACACATGGTAGACCTTTTAAACGGGGGCCGGGGGCTTGAGAGGGAGACACGCAGGAGTTACCTGATTTCACACATGGTGGCCAATGCAGGGGCAGCCACCCGTATTCACAAGCTCACTGGACAGGGGACATCTGCACACACTGGGGTCTGGGGATGGATGTTTCCTGGGAGGGGATAACCTTTGGGGTAGGAGGTAAGCGGGGAGGGTGTGGGGGAGACACTATTACGCTTTACGTACCAACCGAAAACCAGGGCTGCAGGGAACGAGGCGGCCTAACATACCCTCACTACCGATTAGCACCGGACAATGGGGAGGCCCCTTCCCACATAAAATGACAAGATAGAGCCCCACCTAAGCGGACTCCTTCGCCCTATTCCTACAGTAATACACACTGGGCCTAAAGGTCACGCAGCCCTGACTCGAAACACCACCCTGAGTGAGACACCCTACACATTTCCACCATCCCAAAGTAACTTAGCCGCAGGGCCCCAATCACTAAGACTGACGACCCCTCACATCCACCACCAGAGGGGCAGCCAAACCAAACAAAGGGGCTCCCGGGATGTTGGGCAGACACTCCGAGGAGGGAAAATACCCTCCTGATATAATGCTAATCTCCTGATATGGTTATACAGCTTTGGGGCGCAGGGGGGCGACGGTGGATCCTTCACACGTAGGAGCCTTACCGCACAGTAACTGAGCCTCTTGCCTTACCGCATAGGGTGCATAATTTGAGGCGGGGGGACTCGACTGGGCCGACAGGAGCGGCCGGGGAGACTCCCATCCCGTCTCACACTCTTTTGTATTGTTACGTTGTTTATTGTTGAATACCGTTATTGGTTTTTATTATTGATTACTGCTTGTGTTGGCCCGGGGTTCGTGGGGGTACAAGACACCACTTCTCCCCGATCACCCGTTCCTGGGAGACCTTCCCCCGAACGGAGCCAAATTCAGCACACACTTCCTCTTCCCGCGGCTCCCTCTCGCGCAGGCCCTTGCATTACCGCCCTGGCCGGGACCCGGATCCCTATAGCTGACCCACCATGCTGCTATGTGCCACGCATAAGCAGGCAGAGATAAACCTCCTCTCTATCAACGCAAGGGGCCTCAACAAGCCCAAAAAACGCTCACATGCACTGTGCCACTTCCACAGCCAGAAATCGCAAAAAGGCCAGATCCCCAGACTGACAGACACTACGCACAGTGCTTTCTTAGCAACAACCCAGCTATCCTGCTACATAAGTCCCTACACTTTGCGCCCACAGATGTGCTCCATGATGGGCACGGCCGTTACGTGTGTGTCAAAGGTACAATCGGGAACCACACGTACACGTTTGCCAACCTCTATACACCCAACACCAGACAACAACGCTTCATACAAACAGCCATACGGGCGATACAGAAGTTTGCCGAGTGCTGCTTACTCTTAGGGGGCGACCTAAATGTGGCCCTACAGCCGACCCTAGACACCTCCGCGGGGACTTGCAATGTCCCACAACACATCTTACATACTATCACTAATGCCCTAGGGGAACAGCACCTGGTGGACTGCTGGAGAGCCATGCACCCAGACGACAGAGACTTTACCTTCTTCTCCAATCCTAACAAGACATACTCTAGACTAGACTATTTTTTCACCCCACATTACTACCTAACTGACGTCAGACGGTCCACCATTGGCACGGCGACATGGTCGGACCATGCCCCTGTTACGATGACACTGACCTCACCATTTTACAGACCCACTTCTCATAACTGAAGACTGAACGAATCCCTCCTCAACGACCCACTGGTGACAGCCGAAACCAGAGACAGACTCACACTATACTTTGACGAGAACGACACACCGGACATCACTCCCTTCTGCTTCTGGGAGGCTCACAAAAGCGCAATACGGGGTCACCTCATAGCAAAAGGCACAGCGCTGAAACGAGACAAAGCCGCGCGCCTGACGAACCTAATATCGGACATACAAACCCTGGAAGACCGACACAAGCAGACCCAACTCACAACAGACTGGACACAACTGACTGCCCTACGCCGGGAACTATCCTCTGTCCTTAATGTGAACTACCACAGGGCATACCTATACTCCAAAGCGTTCTTCTATACGAACGTCAACAAATGTGGAGCCCTGCTGGCCCGCATGATAGCGAAAAAGAGGATGGCGGCCTACATCCCCAAAATAAGGGCCGGAGACGGCAAGCTGAAATACCTGCTGTCCGAAATGGCGGAAACCATCAGTAGATACTATGCGGCCCTATACTTGCTCACCCCACAAGCAGATGAGGCGGCCACCGCTGACAAGACAACGCGCATCAGACAGTACCTGGAAATGCACCTCAGCAAACGACTCACGCAAGAAGCATGCACCGACCTGGAAGAGCCCATCACAGCCAACAAACTGGCGTGGGCCCTCAAAACAACGAAGCCTGGAAAATGCCCCGGGCCTGATGGCTTGCCAACCAGATACTACAAACTCTATTCCGAGATCCTCTCCCCCGACTGCTTGCAGCGCTCAGTTCGCTCCAAGAGGGAGCCAGGTTCCCCACGCAAATGCTAGCGGCAAATATCTTCTTAATCCCCAAGGAGGGCAAGGACGCAGAACAGTGCGCGAATTACAGACCGATCTCACTGGTGAACTGCGACCTCAAGCTGTTCACTAAGATCCTGCATGCATGCTACAGAACTACCTCCCAGACCTGATCCACAAAGACCAGGTGGGTTTCACCCCGCAACGCGAAGCACGGGACAACACGGCACTGCCGCCAGCAGACCTGAGTGCCTTCTTCTGCTCTCCACGGACGCGGAGAAGGCCTTCGATCGCATCGACTGGGACTTCCTGTTCCTGGTCCTGGAAACACTGGGCATGGGGCCCTACATGATGGGCTGGATCAGAGCCCTATACTCAATGCCCACGGTGCGCATCTGTATCAACGGAGCCTTCACGGAACCCTTCCCGATTAGGAACGGAACGCGATAGGGATGCCCCCTCTTTATCCTGGCCCTTGAGCCCTTCTTGAACTCGATAAGGTAAACCCCGCAAAACTCATGCAGGACCAGTGGGACAAGATTTGCACCCTCTGGTTGCACTAGGCGCCGTCGAGCAGGGTGCAGGAAACAGCCTACAGAGTCCTGGCCCCACGGTACCTGGTACCGCACCCCACGACTCACCCACATCGTAGACCCCACCGCTGATGACAGATGCTGGAGATGTGAGGGAGACACGGGCACGTTCATCCACCTGTGGTGGGACTGCCCACGGATCAAGCCATACTGGGCAGCGATCCATAAAACCCTTGCAAGATTCTCTGACACCCCGCCACCACTGAACCCTACCACATTTCTCCTACACCACACCACAGTACCAAACTCGGCGTACAATAAATCCTTGACAATCAGGATCCTTAATGTAGCCAAAAGTCTTCTGGAAAAAACAGTCAGCACCCCCCCTGACCCTGTGGGTACTGTCACGGTTCTCACCATGACACCCAGACAAGGTCGCCCCAGAAGTGCCCAATGAGGGATTTGAACCTGGGTACTTTTGCAGTTATGGACCTGCTATTTTGCTTCTGAGCCACTATACAGCTCTAGTAATACCCTGTAATCTAATCTTGTCTTGTATCTAGCACTGGGGGCTGGACATTATCTGAGACTGCTCCAGTCACTCATGGTTCACCTGTGGCTGATCACCAATTAGCCAGGTATAAGACACTGCCTCTCCCTGAGAGCAGTGTCAGTTCTTTGACTCTGGTTCCCATATTCCTGTTTCGTGTTCCAGTGTTCTCCTGTTGATTCCTGACCTTGGCTTGTTATTTTCGTGTATCCTGACTTCTGGCATCCTCTGACCTCTGCTCTCTACTCATTTATCCTGATTTCTGGCACCCACTGACCTTTGGCTTACCCACGACGATTCTCCTGTTTATGTCCGTATCTGTACTGCGACTTGGAGCATCATCCTGCACAGCTCCGTGCATAGACTCACAGACCAGGTAAGTTCTTCCCTGACCACCTTGGCCTGTGTTTAATTGCAAGGGTAAGCATATCTCTGCATACCGAATTCCTACCAAGGTAAGCTGTGACAGGTACCAGTGCATGGAGGACCTCAGGGCGCTGTAGGAGCTCTCCCTGATGGCGGAGGGGAGAACACAGACATACATGACGACCTGGACACACTGGATCCTAACAACTGAACGCCCGGACTTCCAAATCCTCCTACACTAAGTCACTGATCACCACGGAAACTGACACAAAAACAGCCAGGGAAGACCGACAACACCTGACACTTCCGACCCTGACTCAGGGCCGACTAAACTACACACGAGGAAAGGGGCGGACGATGCTCGACATGCAGATCGGGGAGGGTACAAGGGGCACTATGACACACACACACGGCAGCGGCCGAGATGCAACCCAGGAGGGAGATCGATACAATCTGGAACAGTGCCCACCGACCCAGCCCATACTAATACTCGCACCCGCCCCACCCGTCCAGTAGTCCCAAGACCGAAGGGCCCCGGGCAGCACCACTGACGCGGAAGCTCAACACATAAACACCTGCGGGCCCGTGGGCCCACTGACAAGCCAGTTGAGGGAGGTGGACTGCCTGCCCTGCCCTGGAAAGAAGGGGCATATCTCGGGCAGCTCAGGCAGGTAGCCACATGGGTCACAGTCTCACGACAGCAGCCGCCTCGGGTGGGGAGGGGTGTAAGGGATGACAGAAGTAAAAATGGGACTGGGAGACAGTAGTCAGGGCACACAGATACAAAAAAGCTACTACTACTGGTTGACGCATGAAGGATGAAAAGTACAAGGAAAATATTGTGCACTGCAAAGAGATCTGTGCATCTCAAACCATGTGATGAAATGTCCTTAACCAGAAACCTGCGTGTTTCACCGTACTAACCGGATACAGATACATCTCTTTCTTTCTGTAATACACCAAATTGCTTTAATAAAACAGAAATTTACCCCCAAAAAGTCTTATTTGAAACTGTATCACCCTTAGCTTTTGACTTTGTATTTCTTTTGTAAAGAAAAACACTTAATAAACAGAGATTTTAAAAAAATAAAAAAATGTATTCCTAACACTACAGTGTTATACTAACTAGTTAAATATCAGAGCCCGCCTTCTTTAAGTTAAATACAGCGGTTTACTTAGCCTACTTCTCCCTTGCATTGGTAGCCCTGCAAATACCCTGCTCTTTCTTTCTCCTATTCTGCAAGTACTCTGCTCCTTCTTACTCCTTTTTTACAAGTACTCTGCTCTTTCTTTCTCCTTTTTTACAAGTAACCTGCTCCTTCTTTCTTCTATTCTACAAGTAATCTGCTCCCTCTTACCCCTTTTTTACAAGTACTCTGCTCCTTCTTTCTCCTATTTTTACAAGTACTCCACTCCCTGCTATCATGTATCCCCCTACCTACTCCAACTCTTCCCCTTCCTCTACCCACATGTTACATTCATTCACGAGCGCACACGCTCGTTCGTACGGGCGCACATGCGCGTTCAGGCACACACGCTCGCGCTTTCGTGCACTCACATCTGCACGCCCGCACTTCCTGCTTACCACTGAGTGCGCGAGAAATGAATAGTTCATCCCTCTGGATGGAGGGAGGATTCTGCTCCTGGCCACCTGGAATCCTAAAACGCCCACTGGTGGGTGGTAAGGTGGGTGGTAGTGACTTCTGCTCTAGTGGATGTTTGAGTGCTTTTTCCCTGTGAAGGCAGCATTTACAGTGCTCAGCATGCGGGGACAGGTTGCTTGCCCCCGAATCCCTACAATAAAAAAACACTCCACTGAAAAAAATCACTATACAATATGTACATCTAATGGAAAAAAAAAAAAGTCTTCCTTTTTTCATTGGTGGTATATCTAAAAACAACTTGCAAAAGCTACAGATCTCTTTCCCCATATAACCGCGTGACTAACACCAGTGCATAAATATGTAGGCGTAAAAATATACACTGAATAATTATTTTTATTGTATTCCTGATATTTAGTTTTTTTCTCTTTTTGATGATTAAGGAATACTTAAAACAAAGCTACGATGCATTGTTCTTTAACCAATACGGCCCTGTATTTTATATAAGTTGTAAGTTTTTAAATCACACAATGATCTGACTACCCTTTCCTTTCTGTCTTTAGAACATTGCTTTTGTTTTAAATGAATTGATTACATGGCAACCCAAACCTGTAACTTATTTGTATTGTCAACATTTGACACCAAAGAAGAACAGCACACTGTTCTTGTAACATCATATTTGCTATAAACACGTGTAGTTTTTCCTGCCTTTCCACATGTCTAATCAAGCACATTCTCAATACATATTCTGAATATGATTTCCTTATTATAATCATTCTAAAAGTCATCCTTGATATCTCTAATGAATGCAGTGGTATCTTTTAACTATCTAGATACACTATATGGACAAAGTATTAGGATGCACCTTTTAATTATTGAATTCATGTGTTTCAATCAGACCCATTGCCACAAGTATATAAAATCAAGCATCTAGCCACGCAGTCTCCATTTACAAACATTTGTGAAAAAAATGGGTCACTCTGAAGAGCTCAGTGAATTCAAGCGTTGTACTCTTTTAGAGTGCTACCTTTGAAATAAGCCAATTCGTAAAATTTCCTCCGTGGTAGATATTTCACGGTCGTCTGTAAGTAGGGTTATTGGCAAAGTGGAAGCATTTCGGAAGAGCAGCAACTCAGCCACGAAGCAGAAGACCACATAAAGTCACAGAGTGGGGTCACTGTGTGCTGAGGCGTGTGGTGCGTAAAAGTCGCCAACCCTCTGGTGATTCCATAGCTGAAGATTTCCTCTGGCATTAATATCAACACAAAAACTGTGGGAACTTTATTAAATAGGTTTACATGGCCAAGAATCTGCATGCAAGCCATACATTGAGTGGTGTAAAGCATGCCGACGCTGGAGCAGTGGTATCGTGTTCTGTGGAGTGACGAATCACGTTTCTCTGTTTGGGTGTCTGATGGGTGAGAGTGGGTTTGGCAGATGCTAGGAGAACATTACCTGTCTATTTTATGCCCACTGTAAAGTTTGGTGGAGGAGGTTTAATAATATGAGGCTGTTGTTCAGGGGTTGGTTTAGTCCCTTTATATCTAGTGAAGAGAAATATTAATGCTTCAGCATACCAGGAACAGGCAGATGTCAGTAGAAGGTAATTTGCATAGCGAAGGGAACAAAAAGGGGTATGTTTGTTGTGCAAAGAGGAAGTATAGTGAGGAGTGGAGTTAGTGAGGGCTTATTAGGTTAGAGTTATCAGTTTGTATTGAATCCTGAAAGGTTCAGGATGCCAATGTAAAGATTGGTCAAGGGGTGAGGTTTGGGAATAGCAGTCAGTCAGGTAGATGGGCCTGGCTGCTGCATTCATTACAGAATGAAGAGGGGCAATGTGGGTATTTGAAAGGCCAATGAGAGTAGTGCACTCAATAGTCACATTGAGAAATGATGAGAGCATGCACAAGTGCCTTAGTTGTATCTTGAGTTAGAAAAAGGTGAGTGCGGGCAATATTTTTTTTTTTTTTATCTTGTAAAACCTTTTTTATTGGATTAATAGAATATTTTTTTATTTTTTTTTTATAAATTCTTTATTTTGGTGGTGCATAATAAAGACATGGTTGGTACATGGCAAATTCCTAAGATGCAGGTATACAGAGTAGTTTTACAATAGCATTACTATACTGTGGCACCATTTTTTTTATTTTCTCCCATAATGCAACAAGGTTCAACTTTCGGGATGTGTCTGAGAGGGGCGACTGGATAAGGGGGTAGTTGTATGGGTGGGAGCTCTCAGGTGTTCCCGAGCTGTAGGTATTAATATGCTCGAGATACTGTATCTAGTGGACTAGAATGGGGTCAGCATATTTTAGCTCACGGGGATATTCTAAAGATTGTCTGGTGGCCTGAGGTTGGGAATATCAGGTGTGCAGTAGTGGTGTTAGATCGCCCCACTTATGGGGGTTGTACCTCCGTTTCTATAAAGTACCCCTAACCTAAGGGGGTAGCGGGGGGGTGAGAAGTTAGGAGGCTTGAGGCTACGGGCCAGTTCACTATTAGTCGTTTCCAATTGCTATGCATTCTACACAAACATGGTAGATATGTAAGAATAGAGGAAAGAGAAGTGAGAAAACAAAGTTAAACAATATATCAACAGTTCTCCATGTCCAGACTCGGGTGCGTTCAGGTGGTAGTAGCTTGCGAGGTGTCGTTCCTTGGGACGAAGGGGGTGATGCGGTCTAGGTCCCAGTTTCCAGCGGCAGTGTTAGAGTGCTGTCCATTGTTCTGCCCTACCAGTCCCAGAGCTTTCATGAGCGCTGGTGCCCCTTCTACAGAGGTGATGGTGTGATTAGTTCCATTGTGGGGTAC